GCATTTCTAATAAATGAATGTCATACCTTGTAAGACTACATAAATTTATAAATAAATGTATAGATACTCCAAAACTAAAATACAGTAATAAACAAATATAGGGAAGAAAAGTCCTGTTGGAGAAGGTGACCTTTGAAAGGGATAGATATAGAATTCAGAATATTTGGAAATGTTATATGGAATATCATCATCTGAAATTCAACTAAGTCATTTTCAACTCAGTTTTTTTAGGATTAGCTATTGAGGATGTAGTTAAGTGGAACTCAACACAAATTTGTCAGTTATCTATAGATGATCTCTTGAAGAGGTGAAGAAAACATTAATTTTTTCCATTACTCCCAGTCTGAAGGGAGTTTGGACTCTTCAGGTTAACAAAGGAGATGTAAAAATATGTATTTATTTAGCAAACAATGCACCAAGTATCTGGTACTATGTGAGATGCTGCTAGGTGTTGTTGGGACAGAAATAAACTAGCCCCAGTCATTATAGGCTTTGCACTGAAAAAGAAGGGATTAGACAAGCTGCACTTAAAGTGCCAAGTGTGAGGAATGGCACTGTTAGACACAGTGCTATTTGAAGTTCAAAAGAGGAAAAGACCACACTTGCAAGATGAATAACTGAGAGTTTCTTGAAAGAAGTTGTTTTAATGCTAAAGAGAAAGTGTTATGAATTCAGAACAGGAAACACTGGTGATGGGCACAGCCCTGGGCTGTCACACTGGGTGCAGTGGGCAGCCACCTGCTCCTGGGGAGAGAGCTGTGCACCGACAGGAGGCTGCAGGCCCAGCATCCCCCCCAGAGAGGGAGGCGGCTGAGGCTATAAGGCCTGTGGAAGAACCTGACCTCTGGGCCTCGCCCTCTCGTGTTCTTCTTGGCCCCATCAGCTACACCCCAGAAAGGCAGAGGGGGAAAGCACTGTCTCCCCCACAGGGCAACCTCCTGGGCCACAGCAAGGGTGGACGGGGCTGATGTGGTCCATTCACGCCGACGGAGGCTCTCTGACACAGATGGGGTTGAGTTGTTTTGTTTTTGTTTGATTTATTGAGACAGGGTCTCACTGTGTATCCCAGGCTGGCCTTGAACACTCAACGTTACTCTGTCTCAGCCTCCTGAGTGCTGGGATATAGGTGTGTGTCACCATAATACAAAGGGAACAGTTGCTTCTAATCAGCAACACCAATGTGGCTGTAGAGCCAAAAAAAGGAAAAATGTTTCAGCAAGCTGAGGTTCTCCTGGCTGAAACACACGGTGTGTGGGAAAATGGTGAGACAAAACTTTCTTTAAACGGACTGATGCCGAGGCATGCAAGGTCAAGACAACACGGGAGGGAAGGTGCTGCAGGCTCGAGTAGAGCTAACCTACAGACCCACCTGTCCCTAGCAAACAGCATGGACACTCAGGGCGCGGCCGGAGCAAAGGTGTGAGCTGCGGCGGCTCACATTGGTACATAAGGGAGCTGCAGCCTTACTCTCAGGGCAACAGTCTCGCCAGTCGTTAAACAGGCCTGAAGTGTCTTGTTGGTGCTGACCCCTGGTTGGTATTCACTATGACTAGATAGGAAATGTCTGCAATGCGAATACCAAGAGAAGGAGCAAAGAATAATAAATGACTTATGTTTAGGGCCGGGGATTTAGCTCAGTGGTTCCGCCGCCTGGATCACAAGCGGAAGGAACCGAGTTCAATCCCCGGTACAAAAAAAAAAAAGACATGTTTAAATAGATTGAGACTTCCTCAGCACAGCGAGAGAGAGAGAGAGAGAGAGAGAGAGAGGAAGAATGTGGCACACATCTATAATCCCAGCACTGCACTTCAGGAGGCTGAGGCAGCCTGGGCAATTTAGCAATTTAGTGAGATCCTATTTGAAGACAAAAATGGTCTGGGGATGCAGCTCAGTATAAAGGCCCTGGATTCAAACCCTAGTATTGCAAATGAAAGAAAGAGAAGGAAGAAAGGAGGCGGGGGGAGGGAAGTGAAAAGAGAAAAGAAAAAAATAGCTTGAAGCCAGGTGTGCTGGCACACCACACAGGGAGGCTGAGGCAGGAGGATTCCAAGTTTGAGCCCAGCTTTGGCAAGACCCTGTTTCAAAATTAAAAAACATAAAATGCCTGGGGATTAGCTCAGTGCAAAGACCCTGGGTTCAATCCCCACCACTGTCAACAAAAAAAAAAAAAAAAGGAATGAGAGGTAGGGACATAGGAACCAACTAAAAAATAAAAATTGACATTTGAAAATAGTATTGAGAGCAAAGAAGTTGCAGGAGCATTTCTGTTTGGGAGAAGAGTGCAATCTCCTGTGCTGTACCCCAGGATTCTGGTAGACACTGCTCCTCCCTCCAAGGGTGGAGGTGTGAGAGCCCTTGACATGGGGTTCCCAGGGAGCCTTCCAAGGCACAGCACAGAGAGGCCAGGGGGCAGACAGCTGAGGCTCCAGAAGCCTTGCTTAGCTCGAGAGCAGAGCCCTTGTCGGAGTAACAAGTCCATGGATGGCTGGCATCCCTGGAGCAAGGGGACAGGAGGCACCTGAACCCTGTGGTCTCCTCCCCACACTTCACAACACCATACAGCCACACCGAGCACATTCTGCAGAACCCTGACCCGTGTCACAGCCCAGTGAGTCTCACTGACTGCCAGTTGAGACTGAGTATAGTGTGGCATCTGGGATGGGCGCAGGGACAGAAAGGGATGTTAGGTAGAAACTGAGGAGATGGAAGAAAGCATGGTTTGATTAAAAATAATCCATCAATATTGGCTCCTTCATGGCAACAAGCCTGCCATAGCAATGTGTGCAGTTAATCAACAGGGAAATGGTGCAGGGTATGTGCTGCTTTCCTGTGAATCTAAAATGAGTCTGCAAATAAAAGTTTATTGGAAATAAAACAAGTAGACTGAGAAAATTCCGAACTATTCTATGTGTGTCCCTTCTAGGTAAAAGAGCTACAATTCAAGCAACTAAAATCACCAGACGTCTCTTCAGCCTGAGTATTTCTCTCTCTTCTGCAACTGAAATATGGATATTTTTAATTATGATAATGGCATAAAAGACCAGATTTTTGGTTTATTTTGAAATGAATGTCTCTTAGTTTCTCTTTCAGTGTCAAAATTTCTGGTTTCCAGATTTTTTTACATTACGTTTAAAATACATACCAAATAAAAGATTTTACTAACAAGATTCCTGTGTTGTCTCATTTTGTGTGTGTGGTGCTGGGGATCGAACCCAGGGCCTCCTGCATGCTAAGCAGGTGCTCAGTGCCCCAGCCCCTAATGAGACTCTGTATGTTTCTTGGCTCTCATTAAATGTTTTGGCCCCTAGTTAATCTTATAATTTTGTTCTCATATTTTGGTTTCTTAGCAAGAGATTTTTGTCCACAGCAAGTCAGCTCTTTCATCCAAGAGCGCTCATTAGGAGAGAGGTAAAAAGACCCCAGATACATGTTATTCCACAGTTATGGGGCATCAGTCACACCTGCTCCTTTGGCATCACTTAGCAGTGTTAGAATGACAGCAAAAGGAACTTCCTGGGAAGAGACACTGCCCCTTGCTTCTCAGCTGCACATCAAGGGGTTTATCTTGTTGTTTTCTTTTCCTTTTGAATATAAGGTGCCAGAGCAAGTAATACAAATTTCATTATCAAACTCAATGTGATGCAGTTTCAGTGAAATATTGGTGGATAAATGAGACAATTATTTCTACCTTTTTTTGAGACAAAGTCTTCCTATGTAGTTCAGGCTGGGCTTAAACTTCCTATGTAGCCCAGGCTGGCCTTGAACTCACAACAATCCTCCTGCCTCAGACTCCTGAGTACTGGGTATTTCCACATTTTTTTGTCCTGTTGTTGCCCTGATGAAATCTCTCCTTTGTTCCCCACTCCTCTGAAACTGAGTCTCCATTTCACCTGTCTGGGTGGAGAAGGTGGAGGCACCAGTGAGATGAAACATCAAAGTACCAGAGCTTAGCAGGCGGCGACCTCCAACCTGGAGAGCTCGGGAGGGGATACGCTTGCTTTTGTGCTTCTCAGGCCTTTCCCCAGTCTGCTCCCCAACACTTTGTAGTCCCCTTAGGTAACCAGCGCTGTCCTCTTGAATCAAGTCCATCACAAGGGCCCCTGCCTTCTCCCACTCAGGTCCAGCAATGCCACTTGGCCATAAGTTCAAGGTGAAAATTCACAGACCATTGCATTGCAGATCCTGTCTGTAGCCCTGAATTCCTCTCCCCACCTGTGGTAACTACAGCTCCCTTCCCTCCTCTCTAAACACTACGTGGCCCGAGTTACCTGGTAAACTGTCTAAAAAGTAGACTCCAGCATTTCCCTGGTCCTTCACAGTGCAGCCTCAGTTTAACTCCTTAACGTAAAATTCGCGATTTTCCTCACCTCCACCACACACGTTCTTAGAATTTCAAATGCCAATTGTTGGTTGCTGGAATTTAAGCAGCAACTGGCTTTTCTACTTTGGCCTGGGACCCTGACCCTATGACCACACTTGCCTAGCACTTTCAGGAGGTTTTTTCACTTTGTTTTGTTTGGTTTCCTGTTTCTTTGCAGTTTTCTATGTAGAAAATCATGACAACTGTGAACAAAGACAGTTTTATTCTTTTCTCCCGATTTGTATGAAGTTTTATTCCCCTTTCTGGTCTTATTAGCTTAGCTAGGAATTCCAGTATGTTAAATAAGAGTGACGAGAGCGCACATAGTGGCTTCATTCCCAATGATGAGGTGAAGCACATATCTGTCACCATTTGGGAAGGAATTAGAGCCAAGCATGGCAGCCTGTGCCTGTAGTCCTGGCTACTCAGGACGGTGAAGCAGGAGGATTGCTTGAGGCCAGGAATTCAAAACCAGTGTGGGCGTCACAATGAGACTTGTCTCAAATAAGCAAACAAGTAAGCAAACAAATAAATAAATATGACCTTTTAGCTGTAGGGTTTTTTGTAGGTGTACTTTAACAAGTTAAAGTTCACCTATATTCCTAGTTTACAGAGAGTTTCTATCATAAATGAATGTTGGATTTTGTCAGATGCTTTTCTGTATCTATTAATACAATCATAATGATTTTTGTTCTTTAGCCTGTTAATATGATGCTTAATCAATTTTGTAATGTTGAACCAGTTTTGCCTACCAACTTGGTTATAGTGTATTTTGTTCTATACATTTTTCAATTGATTTGCTACTATTTTGTTAACTTTGCATCTGGGTTTATGAAAGATAAGGGGCTAGAGTTTTCCTTTTTCAGTTTTTGAGACAAAGGCTCACTACATAGTTCAGGCTGGCCTTGAACTCAAAACTGTAGCTGAGGCTGGCCTCAAACTCACAATGATCCTCCTGTCTGCCTCCCAAATGCTGGGATTACAGGTGTGCACCACCACACCTGGCTTAGTTTTCTTTTCTTATAATGTTTTATCTGCTTTTGGTAAGGCTAGCTTCATAGAATGGGTTATGAAGTGTCCCCTCTGCTTCTATGTTTTGGAAGGCATTACAGAGAATTGGTACAAATTTCTTTCTTACATGTTTGGTGGAATTCATGTGTGAACACATCCAGACCTGGTACTGTTATGGGAGGATATTGATTATAGATTGATTTCTTTGACAGATCTGGGCCTGTTCAGATCATCTGTTGCATTTTGTGTGAGTGATGACTGTCTTTCAGGGAACTGGTCCATCCATCTAGGTGACTGAAGTGTGGACAGACAGCAGGTCATATACTCCTTTACTGTTTATGCATCTGTAGTGATGGCCTCTCTTGCATTTTGGATATTATTAACTTTCATCTTCTTTTTCTTTTTATCTTACCCTGGGTAGAGGCTTACTAATTTTATTGATCTTTTCAAAGAATCTGCTTTTGGTTTTACTGACTTGCTCTATTAATTTCCAACTTTCAATCTCATTGCTTTCTTATCTCATCTGCTCTGATTTTTATTATTTTTTCTTCTGCATACTTATATTTAATTTGCTCTTCTTTTTCTGATTTCCTATAGTGGAAGCTTAGATTATTGCCTTGAGGTCATTTTTTTTTTCTGACATATGCATTCAGTGTTGTAAGTTTCCCCCTAAGCACTGCTTTGTTGTATTACCAAAATTTTGACAAGTTGTATTTTAATTTTTGCTAATTAAAATATTTTGGGAGGGGGAGACAATAAAAATATTTGACCAAACCACTAGAAAAATATATCACAGCCTTGACACAGCAGACAGGCTCTATTATCATTTCAAATAATAAGTTGGTAAAAAGACAACACAGTCCTCATCAAAAAGATAAGGCGCCATGCTGGGGCAGGCACACTGCATGTTGCAAAGGCCAGGCAAACATAGTATTTGGTAATGGGGGCACTGTCCCCTCCACCCTACCCTGAAGGAGTCATAGCTCACATTACTTTTTTGTTGTTGTTAAGTTCTTTTATTAGTACATTTTAGGTATACAATTCATTTACATTTATCATTGGGCGTTTGTACTTGTACATGATGTGTCTTGGTTCTTATTTTTCTTCCCCATTACCTGTGCGCCCTTCATCCCCTCCACCCTTCCCTATTTACAGACATCATTTCCATTTTTTTTCTGTTTTTCCTTTCCCTCTTTTCCTTTCCCCTTCCCCTCCCTTCACCCCCTTGTCTTTGTACCTTTTTTTCCTATTTCAAATTATCAATTATTCATTTTAATCATTTTAACCCTTGTTTACACTCTCAGTTTCTCACACTAGAGAAACTATTTGGTATTTACACATGTGTGTCCTATTTATTTCACTTAAAGAGTATGGCCTCAATATGGATCCATTTAGCTATAAATGACTCTAGTTTTTCATTCTTTATGGCTGAGTAGTACTCCATTTTATAAAAAAAACCACATTTTCTTTTTCCAGTTTCCAGTTGATGGGCACTTGGGCTGCTTCCAAGCTTTAGCTATTACAAACTGTGCCGCTATGAACATGGGGTCACCTATATTGCTGTGGTATGATTCTTTTAATTCTTTTGGGAAGATAACCAGCAGGGGAATAGCTGGGTCAAATGGGACCTGTAGTCCTAGTTCTTTGAGGTATCTCCATACTGATTTCCACAGTGGTTGCACCAGTCTGCACTCCCACCAGCAATGGAGAAGGGTTCCTTTCTTTTTGATCTTGCTGTTGCAGAGGATTATCTCAATAAAGTGCTGTTAATTCAGAGGACTACATAGCAATGGTGGGTTAGGCTTTTATTCCATTCTGTTCTTCAGAAACCAATTTCTTCAAGTTGAGCACTTCATAGCTCTCTCCACTAGCCAACCATTCCTGCTTCACTATTCCTGGATAATAGCATATATATCACAAAGCCCTTTACCCTCCCAGGGAAAAGTGTCACTGCAGAATTGTTTTGCCACTGTTGCCAAAAGCCTATGGGCTCGTGAGCCAGTGAGGGAAGTTGATTTCCCTCATGATGTGTGACACCATGTGACGCTCATGTTTTGCAATGGTCTCCAGGCTGAAACACACAGTGTAAGACGGTCAAGAAGTGTACATCTTTACTTGATGGCTAGAAAAGGACCCAAGGAACATCTCAGAGTCATTATCTAAACTGCTCACCCTCTCAACTCCACATTTTAAATCTACTTCATGCCCTTGCATATAAAAAACCAAGCAAAATGAAGATCTGGGAACTATTTTCCTCCTAAATTAGTAATCTCCTGGGTTTTGTTTGATGATTTACAGAAAATGGTGTGTGATGTTTCTGGTAAACATGAGGTTGGCTACAAACAAGAATACCTCTGTCTGTGCCAGGTCACAGGCAGGTTGGAGGAGCCCACCAGCCACCTGCCACCTGCGTATGAATCTGGTACCTTGGAGGGCTCTGCATCCATACAAGGGAGATACTCACTGCCAGGATAAGGTCTTGCCTCATGAACTTTAGGCTCTGAAGTGCTCCCTTGTACTATCTTTGACCTAAATTTTAACACCATTTTTTTTTTCATTTCACTTTCTAGCACCCAGACATAGGAACCAGGGGCCTGAGGCAAGTGAAATATTAATCTTAAATCCTTAGTTTCTTCATTCAAAAACTTTACTTAAAAGACTAACATTCCCATTTTTAAAAAATAGATTCCAGCCCTCATCCCTGATGGTGCCTGGTGACAACTTTTATTTCTCAAAGAATGAGAGTGACATCTTCATTGTCTTGGTCATAGTTGAAATGTTTTCTTTCTAATAGCT